AAAGCAGTGAAACGCGGCTGGGAAACTGAGAACATGGGAGAGGATTGCTTGGTGGGAAAGGAAAAAAAGGAAGAGAAAGGAGGGAGGGGAAAATCGAAGTGCCTCTGCCTCTGACACAAAAAACGATTACAGAAAAAGCGTTTGTTGGCCGAATCAAAAAGAAAACACGATCAACGATGAGGAGAGAGAGAGCGAGAGAAGCTGACAAGCTGTGGCAGTTGAAGAAACTGCGGTGGTCACGCGGAGAAGATCATGGAACTTCAAATGGGCCTTTATTATTGGGCCATCTGGGCCGGACTATCTAGCCCAGTTTTTGCTTCCTTCTGTCACGTGTCACTGTTCCAATCATTTTCCACAACACAACATACAATTAAATAATAGGAGATAAAGTCATATTGACTAAAATTAGCAACCTTAAAGTCAGCCACCTTACTTCTTTGCCTAGAAATATGCTCAAAATATATGAAATTAAAAGATTAAGCCAACCGAAAAAATATCCAACACCAAAATCTTCCTTTCAAGTGAGATCTCTCTTCTACAAACAAGATTGATTGCACGAGAACAATGCCAAAAAGATTTTGATTTAGGATTTAAACCCATCCTTTGCGCCCCATCAAAAATTGTCAGGAGTTCAAATTGCACGAGAGCATAAAACCTCGCAACCCGAGTTAAGGCAGCGATTGTATTCCGATAGGATTGAAAATGATGACTCTAATTCTAGTTCGATCTTGATTGGATGAACATGCATCATCATATTTTCATCTAAATAAACCAATGAGAATATTGGGGCAATTATAAGATTTCGACGACTAAAAACCAACAAAATTTGAAGCACAATAAATTGACACTTGCACACTCCTTATACGACATAATCCAATCAAATCCTCTATGATTGATGCTGGTGCTCTCTCTCTTTGTTAGTGTTCTTTATGAAATTTTGGTTTTTATATATATACTCCATGATCAAATTGTAATATATAGGATGAGGGATCGAACTCCAACCAATGGTTAGAGATATATGTCAGTTACCGCTGAGCTATGCTAGCTTTGGAAAACGACTTTCATCCAAGCACTAAAAACCTCGAACCGAGGTGGTTGATGGGGAGCTTGTAGCTTATGGTGCTTCCACCCAACCTAAAAAAGGTTTCGGTAGCGTAGAATCTAGGCCTTTTGAAGTGCCAGTAGGTGTAGCAATGGGTAGGGCTTTCGTTCTTATCGCTCCAAGTTCCGATCTATATCTGAAGTAAGCATGGGTGACATTCTTTGTCGTCCCCTTAGCCCTCTTACTCTCTAAGGAATGAGAAAGGCTACATCTAATTTTGTCTACTCGTTTGTGAGCGCGTGAACCAACCCAACAAATAAGGAAAGGATGCCTTTCGGGGCATCTCATAATGCTTCGAGCCAGTTCACGATCCAATAGTAAGGAAGCTCGCATGCGGGCAAGCATTGATTGATATTCATTCTTTTTTAGCCAAGGCGATCGGCCTGACTTTTCTAGAAGGAGTCGAGTACCTTCCAGTAACGGCGAACAAGGGTCTAATCAGGATTTCGCTTCAGGGATATAGTAACTCGAGATGATCTCAGTATGCTGCTCGACTGCTCGCAGAGCGCACTTGCGAAGGTCCAACGACGAGCTATGTAGAGGATACAAAGAAAGAATTCCTCTTTTATTTTATTGTATTTTTTTTTTTTTAGAAAGGTAAAAGGATGGAATCCAAGAAAACAAGACCTCTAAAAGCGTCTTGTAAACAAATTATTCGATCTGGAGATCCTAGCAAGGTAGCCGAAGACGATGGCAGCAGGAAATACGGGAGCACGAACGAGGTAAATTTTTTATTTTTATTTTTTTGCATCGTCGCTATCTGCTTTATAGTCGAATATGGAGAATATGAACTCATCACATTCTTCCTGAATCGGTCATAGTCATTGCAGGTAATACTCCGAGTCCTGGTAGTCCATGACGTAAACGATGAGTATTCGCGAACTTGTCTCTGTATGGCAATCACTAAAAAAAGAGGGTTAACTACCTGTTCATTGGATTTCGGACCGGATGGATCCAGTACATTGCTGATTCATCGCCTATGAGAGATTAAAAGACCGAGAAGCTTGACTTTCATAGAATTGTTGAAGAGCACATCAGAGAGCTTGATCAATTGCCGGAGATCATTTGGAAATATGGTAAACCTGGTCAATATACATCACCTTTTCCAAAAGGGAGTTGTTGAATAGGAATAAAGAACGCCAATCTTTGAGAATGTTGTCAAACTTTTCGTAGATCTACTAACCCATCAAAAGACCGTAGGAGCCTTGATTGATCCATATCACAAATTCTCGAGTCGCCCCTGTGTGGGAGGAGTCAAACTTGGAGAGCAGAGAGAAAAATTAACCTAAATCCATATCAAACTAGCAATAAAAATATTGAGCACTTTTAGTCTGCATTGGTGAATAGAAGCTCCACTATCAAGTAAGAAAGAAGTGACACTTCCCGATTGATTCTGAATGCCGCGTGACATCATCTTCAACCAACCTAATTGATAACCAAATTGTAATATATCGTGATTTATTTTTAAAATAACCTTATGTAACAAAATTAACTGTTTATTTCCAGCGGTAATTTATTAAAAACGGGCTAATGTTTCCGTTTTCGACAAAATTGTTCCAATTTACTAATCTAATTCAATAATGAACGAACTTAAGTAAAAAAGAAATGTCTATCCCTCTCCTAAACCCTTCTTCCACCTCCATCACTCCCCGCTCTGCAAGAAGCAAGCTAGCTGAGAAACGCTCCGCCCACCAAAAATGGTGCATAAAGCTTGGAGAATTATACCAAGGCCCTTGCTCGAAACGGTCCTCAACAACCATTCACAGCACCACCGCGTTCCTCAACCTCTGATCCTCCATGGCCCCAGAGGCGTCGGCAAAACCACTCTCATTCTCGAGCGTACTGTTCTAATGCCTTTTCCTGCAAAATTTATGTCGATTTGTTAGTCTGACGATTCCTGATGTTTCTCAGGTCTTCTCCCCGATTGGAACAAATGCCCCCACTTATCTGGATATGTGGATTTTGCTGAAACTATCGAAGATCATCACCCAGTCTATGGTCAGTCGTTTCCGTGGGCGTCGTGGTCGAATTGTCCGTCGCCATCATTGTCTAATTGCAGAATTAAACTCGAGAGTTGCCTCGAATCGATGGCCGAAAAGGGCGTAAAACTAGGCGGTATAACCTCCCATCAAATATTCGCCACCATGAACAAGTGGCACGGCCTGAATACCGCCCTTCGCCGCGTACTTCAGGGGGATAATGCATCGAAAAGTGTAGTTTCGCGCAGAGCGTCAAGCTCGGCTCTGTGGGATCAAGCAGTTTTTGCACTATCTGCTCGATGTAATGCCGCTGAGGTCGATGGGGTTTTAGGCCTGGGCGACGAAGGGAGGAGTTTATCGATTGAGGAGGCTTCTTATTTTAGAGAGGCGTTTGTGGCGCTGAGACTAGCTAAGGAGGTGATCAAAATTCAGCAAGGGTGGCGAGCTAATGCCATTGCTGATTTGAATCGGATGCGTGGTTTCTCGCCGTCGCTGGCACATTCCTGTACCGATTGGCCTTGTTTGTTGATAGAGTTGCTGTCACAAGCAGCTGAAATTGATCATTTTCAGGTAAACATAATTAAATTAGTTCGAGTGCTGAAGTAGTTTAACGATCATCAGTATCTGAATAAAGAGAATGATCGTTCCCGAGAAAATTCTGGGAGGGACTGGGACGGGGAAGGGTGACCAAATATATGCTATTAACTCCAATTCATTTTGTTTTATTGACCGAAGAGGCATTTATTTCTAACACTCGAATCTTCTAAAGGGAGTTAACCCAGATTGTCTCAGTTTTATCTTCAAGGGATCTTACATTCTTTCACTGCTCATTATTCATGTGTCTACAAGGCATTGAACTATGTATTATTTTACAATGCCATCATGGTGTTTTTGATGATAAGCATGAAATGCGTATGGGAATTGGAATGTAACTCATTGTTCCGCTCTTGGCAGCCAAAACTAATTATTAACAACATAGAAGTCTTACGAAATGCAAGCGTGTCAGATGATGATTCATCAGTCTGTGGCTCAATGTATCATGACAGTCTGGTGTGGAGAATGATTGCTCTAGGGGCAAATGAAAGATGTCTTCCTGTTATACTCGTAACGTCGGATAGGTAAGGTTATTTGGGATACCCTTGTATTCTCTCATATATACTGCTTCAATCGAAAGAACTTTAGAAAATGTCAATGTCTGATGCCCACTCATACAATAATAATAGCCGTGTGTCTGCTCTATAATATTTCTATTCCTTGCATTTTATATCATTGAATTATTTGAAAAAGCTGATCAAAGTGTAATCAAGTGATTTAATTTGAGATTAAGTCTTAGCATATTGCAGTAATCTTTGCTGGTGGTCTTTCTTTCTGGTCGTCTAATATATTTCGATATTATTTGGCTTTCTTACGTAGCTATATTTTAGATTTATATATGTTTCAATCACCCTTCAGACTCATATGTTTTACTTGGTATCTTTTCCATCACATATCCTTCTTCTCTCTCTTGAGCAGCTACTATTCATATCGCGCATACATGGATTTTGGATTTCCAGACATATTTATCTCGCGTGAGGTACTATGTTTGTAGCAAAGGTCACACTATTTTGTCTGTGTTTCTATATTTATATAATTTTTCCCTCTCTCCCAGACTTTTGCTATTTGCATTAGTTGCTCAACATTGTCGATTAATTATCTATAAGAATAATTGGTTTTTGAATACCTTCCGTCTGCTTTGGGTATAACTTCCTAAATGAAAGATGCTCACTATTCTTTTAGACTCCCAGCCATTTCCACTCAGTCCTATGTGCTAAATTGTTTTACAAATGAAATAGTTTAACCTAGCATCCTAGTTTAGGCTTTTGGTGTTGATGACAAATTGACAAGTTAATACGGTGAAGTACAAGATCAAATGTTTAAATTTCTACATATTATATCTTGTTAAGAACTAGGTTTAGGCTTTGGAGGAAGTGCTGTTATTCCCCCTTTTCGTGACAGGGGCCGTTTTACTACTCTATGGGGTCTCTGACTAGAGAGGAACAATAGACTGTTTAGGGGGTGGAGAAAACTGTGGATTATGTTTGGGATATCATTAGGTTTAATACTTCTTTATGGGGGTTGGTCACTAAGGCCTTTTGTAATTATCAGTTAGGTCTCATTCATTTGGATTGGAGCCCTTTTTTTAAGGGGTTCTCTATTGCAAGACTGGTTTTTGTATGCCCTCCTTGTTTTGTATCTATTTTCATTTCTCTTAATGAAAGCGCAGTTTCTTATCAAAAAGAAAAAAAAAAGTTTAAATCTGCGTATTATATCTTGTTAAGAATTTTTAACTGAATAAAGTGGCCTTTAAGAGCTCAATTTTAAAGATCAATGGGTAATTTAATGTGGTACCTAAGCGTGAGATCCCAATTTGGAAACTCTGAGTGATCATTTCTTGTTCAGTTCAAGATTAACAAGGTCTAGTTGCTGAGTCTCGATAATCAAAATGAAATTTGAGCATGTGTGTGGATATAATTTAAGCATTTGAGATTAGTAATACTTGGATACATACAAAGGAAATTGATGTTCTTCTTTAATTAATAATACAGAGAAAGAGGAAACTTGTGTGTTTTCCTTCATGATCTTCTTCTTTAATTAATCAAGTATATGAATGCTTAGAAATTTGTTATTGTATATTAATCATTATGTATCTCACCCTTTCTAGTTCGTTTGAGCTACAGACTTTTGGATGGACTTATCAAGAGGCTAAACTACATATGGTTCCTGATTATTTCAGCAATGCGGAGGTAAGCAACTGCCAGTTAAATCCTATAGAAATCAGTTCTTGGGAGAGCTCTAATTGAATTCCAAAAGTTAAATTTTTTAAAAAAAAAGGCAGCAGAAGATGAATCGTGAATGTATGAGAAAAGACTGTTATAAAAAGCCTGTCTGCTCTTGGCATTTGCAGTTCTTTTTCATTTCACTGGCAAACGTTCATATTAGCATACGTTTACTTCTGTACTACCTTGAATTACAATCATTCATACACTACATTTTTTCTCTCTCTAAATTGTAGTGGAAGCTGATTGCGGAGGTGCTTGGTCCAAACCCTCGACATTTATTTGAGCTTTATGCTCTGAAACAAGGCAATTTTTATAAAAGAACGTAAGAGTGACATGATTTATTTTGTTCTCGTTACTGCAATGACTAAAATCTTTATTGGCTTTGGGCCTTGTAGATGATGAGGTGAGCTTTATTTGAGTGATATTGTAATATGAAGGGTTAAACTACCCATTTACTGTACGTGTTGCACAGTTAGTAACATTGTATTCATCTTTGTGTTACGCATCCTCATACCAGAAAGTTAACTGAAATGTCCAAAAGTTCTACAATATCTAATAGCTTGATTTTTCAATACATTGTATATTTGAAAATTAATTATTTTAAGAAGTATGTCCTTGGTAGAACCCACTAGAACTTTTTAAAAATGATTCATTTCCCTGCTTTTAAGGAGTCTCTTAGATTCAGAGCAAATGGAAAGTTGATTCTTATAAAATTTGATCATCAGCATACTTTCCTTTTTGGCTATAGGGCAACGGATCATAATTTTGGCACAATCGAGGATATAGTGGATGCATACTTGGCATACTTGCAAGTAAGTTTGTGAAGACAGGCTTGCCTACTATCTGTTAACTGTTTATCAGTTAACTGACTTGTTCACTTGCTACATTCTGATTATCGTCTCTCCATGATTTCTTTATTAATAGATAATAAATAGATATCTTATAGTTTGTATGGCTGAAAGGTATATTGATTGAGTTAAAATTTCTGTCAATAGCTTGATATTATGCATTATTCCACTTTCATCTTCTGGGTTTGATCTAGCCAGACAAAGAATGCATTAGTGTCCGGTTATAATAATCCCATATGAATGTTTGGAGGTGTTTTCTTGTATCATTTATTGCACATAGCTTAGTTTAGCTACCTTCTACCTAAGTTTCTTTATTTTAAGGTGACAGTGGTAAATCCTGCCATGGATAGAGCATTAGCACTCCTGCAAGCATTTGCTGTTGATGCACGAAATGGACTGGTTTCGAAAGATAGATTGCGCTTTGGTGCACCTTGGAGGCATCCTCCTAAAAGTAATGATCCACGCTTGAGCTTGGACTGGGCAAAGATTCAGCTGATGGATTTTGTGCAATGTCTCGTGGATGCAGAATTTGGGGTAACTATCCATGTCTTTGAGCAAAAATTGTTAGTTGTGAATGCTTCCTCTTGTGTTACGTGACCCTTGAATCATGTTACATGTAATCATTCATCAGAGAGGAGGTACTTTCAACTTAGCAGGTCTATAATAACTTTATCCATGGTTCTTTGCTACCATCTTTTATCCGACTATTGCAAAATTTTATATTTAGTTTCTTATGTTTGTATTTTAAAATTTTATGGATTAAAACAATTTTAATGTAAATTTACAAAGAATTAATTGAGAATTTCAGATTTATTTATTATAAAAGATAAATTCTTAATCTAAGTGGCAATAAGGAATAGAAGATAAGAGAACAGCGAGAAAATTTATTCAAAACTTGACTGTCTCAAGGAGTTATTGTAATATTTTGTAACAGGTGGGATGCCTTGTATAAGTATAACTGAAAATAACTTGGGCATGGTTAGAATAATTTTTGTCTTTCTTCTTTCAAGTGTCATCTGGGCTAAAATCATTAGTTTGGTTTTTATCTCTCATCAAAATTTCACCCCTTATCATTAGGTTAACTATCTTGCTGACTGCAGCCTTGAGATCTTTGATGATCCTTCTGCTGTTGCCTTGGTTGAGGTTAGTCTTCATCCATTAATGTTTTTTTTCCCTTATTCGGGGTGTCTGTCATATTTAGAATTCGTATGGTTATCTACGTAATTTTTTTGTTTCACATAAGTTCTTGACGATTTTAATGCAGTCAGAGTCCCACTTTTTGCATGGTATGGTATCTTTTTTTTTCTTTAGTTTGGAAAATTATATTTTACTTGAATATTTATTATTTTTACCCTTTCTAAAATTGTTTTTAAATGATTAATCTTGATCTAGTACAAAATTTCTTTCTGTTCATGTGAGTTTTTCGACATCTTAATTCAGTGGGGTTGTCTGTGCTAACAATGGCTCTTCAAAAATTAGTGAGAAAGCCAGAGTTACTCAGCTACTAGCTTTTCTATCATATATTTGGTAAAACCAAACTGCATTAGAATAGGACTCAGTTAATTATCCATGTTATGTTTCAGCTGATATCTAGTACACAACGTTGAATTGACACTCCTTTTGTTACCCCATGTGATATTTCTCACCTCTTGCAGGTCGGTTTGCTTTATGCTCAACGGGATCCATCCTTCATGCGGCCAATATCTAGAGGGATTCAAAGATGTCTAGTGCGATGGTAAGTGAACCTTTATTATTTAACATACGAAAGTGAGAATCAATAATATGAGATATGCAAATTTCCATTTTTCTTCAGGCTTGTCCAACAGCAATTTCAACTAAGTTCAAGGCATCGTCTTCTGTATCTCTCGCAAAGAATTATACGTGGACGTAGCTATCGCCATCTGATGCTAGAAGTGGGATATAAATAGACCATGTAACAAGGTGAATATTTTGAATTTGTAATTCTTTTAGTTTAATATTATTGGTGAAGTTAATTGACTGGAGATTTCCAGGACTTCTTAACAAGAATTACCATAGTAAGCAAAATAATGATTGAGTTGAACTCTCAACCTTGCCCTAGTGTTCATATCTTCATCTTTGACTTTTCTTTGAGACCATTGACAAAAAACATCTCAACTCAGTAGGAAAGTAACATTCAAGGAAACCTAATGAGCATCTAACTTAAATATCAATTTAAACCACAGCTACCTTGCAAAATAATAAAAATAGAAAACTAAATAATGAGAACGAAAGATTCACAATCAGCTTCACGATAGGAAAACCCGGAAGGAGATAATGAATACCTTTGTTGCAAGATATCACCAGTGTTTGAACCTCTTAAAGCAAAAATGCTAGGAAAAGTTGCCTCTGTGTAGGGGAGCAAAGCTTCGTCTCCTGATCATAAAAAAATGCAAGGAAAAGTTTATCTTTTATGTCACACCTCATTTACACAATGTCAAAACCCTCAAAAGACAAGATGCGAAGGTGCATCAAAAAGACAGTTGATATAGTTTTACACAGAAAACCTCGGCTTCATATCAATAGAACAAGGTCTTCTACCACAAAGATTATATCCCAGAACATGTAGGATTATTTTTCTGAGGTATTAGTATTTCACCTCTCAAGCTCTCACTCAATGGCATCATTTTCTTATGAAATGTAGGTTCCAGCTTGCAAAAGGAAGAGAAACAAAGAAGAAATATGGGTTATGTTTGAAAGAGAGAAATGAGGAAATAAGAATTGAGAAGAAGAGATCTTAATCCAAACTGT